TCAAATGTGCATTTGTTATGTCTTCCTATAGACTGAAACCGTTTTTCATGCAGATAAGCGCAGCAATGGAGCATGAAACTTAGCTTTCTTTAGAACATGAGTTTCATAAAATTTGTCCGAAGCAGGTATAGATCACAACAAATTCTACTGCTGGTACAGTTGACAACACGACCGAGGTGTTTCCTGTCATCCACGGTACAGTTTCCATACCAGACAGCGGCCGCGAATGTTAGAACACTCTCAATCGCTGCCCGAGAAAAGTCTCTTGAGGCAGATATTGCTGGGATTTTCTAATAATAAAATCAACATGAATCACCCATTTCAGATCATTGGAGACATGTTATCCAAGAAATTTAAACGAATCAACAGTTTAGACCTCCGAACCATTAATACTAAGAGGTTGAATGTCATTGTGAGTTCTTCTAAAGTCCACAATTATCTTCTTAGTCTTTCCTACATTTATCTCCAGGTTGTTAATGTGACTCTATTGAACTAAGTTGTGAACTTCGTTACAATCAGAGGATTTGTCCCTGAAAATAAGACCACCCAAAGTAATATCGTTCACATATTTGACGATAAAAGTACTACGGGCTTGTACAGCGCTGTCATGTGTAAACAGTGAATACAACAATACAATACACCTCTGAGGTGTACCTGTGTTCAGGACAAGTGACTTGGACAAAGTTGTCCTAAATATCTTCACTCTTTGAGAGTGATCTAACAAAAAAATCTAAAATCCACTGGCAAATTGAAGGATTAAGATCCAGGATTATGATCTGATGATGAAGCTTAACGAGTTAAATAGTGTTAAAAGCCGTAATCTGTAATCTGTAACTGTAATCCACAAATAATAATCTACAATAATTAGGGCTATTCTTGTCAAGAAGTTGTGAAGCTTTAAGGAAAACCTACAGAATTGTATCATCAACTGATCTATTTACCTTACAGGCAAACTGAAACAGCTCCAACTTGGGAGACAACTGTGACTGTACATATTTCCTGACTAAAGTTTCCATACATTTCATAACCACTGAAATTAAAAGGGCAACTGGACGGTAGTCATTAAGGCAAGTAACTGGCGATTGTTTGGTCACAGGGATGATAAAAGATATTTTAAATGCAGTCGGCACATGGCTAATTTTCAGGGACATGTCAAACAATTAAAAAAAATAAAAATGCACAATTCGTCTTTGCAATATTGTAACAGATGCGGACAAATCCCATCTGGACCAGGTGCCCTATCAAGCTTTAACTGTCCTAAAATACGGTTTGTATCTTCAGTGGTGACCTCGAAAGGTGGAGGTAATGTTTCGATTATTTCAGGTAAATGATCCTTTGGGCGATCAAAGCGTTTATAAAAGTCATTGAGCTCATCCATAAGTGTTACATCATCCTCAGAAGCTTGTCTGGCCCTTGGTTTAACCTCTCTATAATGTTCCTATAATTTGCACTCATGGGCGTCCAGACCAGCAAAACATCCGTGTCGTCAATGTATGTATGCAGTCGCTTGACTTAACTCCAAATTTAGGGCTTAAAGCACTGATATGACTGCCCGATTGTTTAAGGGAGTGGGAATAATTCTATAGTTTGACTGCGCGTGCGCATACTGAACACAGCCGAATCGTCGAAAAAGATTCGGAACTTCGGGTACCATCGGCCCAAATACCTTCAAAAAGATCGGATGCTTTCTCAATTCGGATGCTTTTTCAATATTCGGGCGTTTTTTAAATTCGGATGCTTTCTGGATTTCTGAATTCGGATGAAATGCAGGTGCGGAACTAGAAATCTTCGGCTGTTTATTGTTGGGGGAAAATGCATTCGCATCTGGAAAACGTTAGGTCTGTCAAATTTCATTCGGATTTCGAAAACTGTTAGGTCTGAAAAAAATTTACTCGAATCTTAAAAACATATTAGGTCCAAAAAATTTTATTCGTATCTTAAAAACATGTCAGGTCTACAAAATTTTATTCGAATCTAAAAATAAAACATGTTGGGTCCAAAAAATTTCATTCGAATCTTAAAAACATGTTAGGTCTGTAAAATTTCATCCAAAACAGGTATAATAGGTGCGACAGATTTCATTCGGTTATGGAAAATGAACTCAAAAATTCAAAGTACGGTCTGTTAAAAAAGAAATTACATAAAAAAAAATCGATTTTTAAAAAAGCATTGCACTTCTCGGAAAACATGTTCCGATCATTTTGACTCTAATTCTGCTTCGTATAAATGTACCATATTGTGGACGGAGTTACCAAAAGGAGCTCGTTTCAAAGACCGATAACCCCCTTTAATGTAGAGTAGCAGTGATCGATGATTTGGTCACTTGTCTGCCCAATAGGAAATGTAAAAATGGTATAAATTTCCCATTGTTGTGGTTAATTTTACTGACCCCTCGTGTTCTAATTCTGACAAATAATGGTGTTGTGTATGACGTGCATTCGATAACCCACCATCATAGTCAGGTACTCTTTTGGTACGGAGGAAACGTGGACATCTGACATGCACTGTTTACATGCCCGTGGAATGTTCGAACGCAAAGTTCAGGTACAAATGCATGTACAATCATGTTCAAGTAAACGACACCTGCGCGTCCTGAAAAAGTATGACTGTGCTCACGCGGTACGACTATCGCATGGGCAATAGACTGTATTATTCGCGGCGTCCCCAATTTCAGTCGTATTCCTGAAAGTACAGTATCAATTTGATACCCGTGATGGGATGGTACCAGGTGATTTTTGGAGTCGGAATGAAATCGTAGAATAAAGTCTGGTTCTTAGAATTTAACGTTTTCCAATAAATACTCCACAGTCGGGAATACGACTAAAAAATTGAAGACGCCGCGAATACGGTCTCTACGGGCCGTTCACATTAACGTGAAGGCCATTTTTTATCTTTGTCCCCAAATCCGTTTTGTACATTGCAAACTGTCGATTAGGATGGCACCAGACTGTTTTATTCTTCCGTGCGTTCCAAGCCTCCCTTTCAATAATTTTCAGAATCTGGCAATGTATAGTTCTATGTGTTCAATCATGAATTTGCAATTATTCATCAAAGTAGACAGGTGCCAATTTGTCATGAAAATTTTATTGCTTCATATTTTGTACATTCAACATTCAAAAATGAACAGTTAACCCAGCTTTCAAATTCAATATGGCCGGCCCCGTGAATAAAGTCCATAGTGCACCTCCAAGAGTTTGCAACGCGTTGGCTAATCACAACGCGCGATATCTGTCGACCCTTTCCAAAGGAACATTGGGTCGACAGATTTCGTGCATCGTGATTGGCCTCCGCATTGCAAACTCCTGGAGGCGCACTCTATGTGAAAAGCGCGCATTACACACTAGTACATGTATATTGAGTGGAATAGCCCGGGCCGAGTTGGAAGCATTTCTTACCCTTTTTCTTGAAAGCTCCTCTTCATCTTCGTTGGCAGGCTTTCTTTGATTTCCAAAAGATCGTGGGCGCGGCGTCTGACTTCAGCAATCGTTTAAATTTAATCCAAAACGGGTCGTGCATGTTCGGAAGAAAACATCTTGGCAAGAAACACGCAGTGCAGTTTGGAGCTCGCTGTCGGTCCTGACCATTTGGCTCTGGTCAGCCTGCCTTTCGATGTCTAGATTCGTCTAAATTTCGCTTTGGTTGGAAAGTTAGGCAGGCTTGTCCGATCTTTTTAGATGTGGCAGCAGGCTGTTGCAACAACTCTGGTCGGTATGATCTCTAAACTCACCCCAAAATTGGACTGAATTTTCCGAACTCGACCCAAGACAGCATTGACCAGATATCGGCGCGCGACTGTGTCTCCGTAAATGTACGCCACAGATATACACATTTTCTATCTTAATGAGAAACCTTTCAATACGACCGTTTCACAGTACGCCTGCAAGAATTTGCAACGTGTTGGCCAATGACGTGCGAAATCTGTCGACCCAATGCGCGTATGGAAATGGTGGACAAATTTTGCGAGTTGTGATTGGCCAACTTATTGCAAACTCTTGGAGGGGCACTATTGTGAATCGCCCGTATTTTCGGTTTTGCCCTACCCAACGTATATATTTATAAACATATTAGACTCAGTGCTCGCTTGAAAAAAAATACAGGTTTACTTGGGTGGGACTCAAATACATGACCTCCTACTTGCTGGTGCAGACGTCTTAACTACTCGACCACCGAACTTTCCAAGTTCGAACGTGTGTTCGAGTTCCACCTGACTAAGCTTGTGATTTTTTCTCGCAAGCTCTCGGACAAGCACTTAGTATACAGTGTTTATTAATATACACGTCAGGTGAAGGCAAAACTTGTATTTAAAATTAACATCCCTCCGACGCAAAGTACATCTTGGCATTAGTGAGATACCTCTTAGGGGAGGGGCCGTTTCGCACAAACTTTTTTAACCTTTTTCTCCCATTTATTAATAAAAAATCGTTATACTTTGAATATCGTTCAATAACAGACCATTTTCAATTTTAACTAACAAAATCCCCTTCTCAAGGGCCTTTTAACAGCTGTTCGACATTATTAAATTTCTCTTGTTTTATACTTTGTAAATTATTTTTTCTGTTTTAAAATTGGAGACCATTCCTAGCTTGTCAAATAAGCTTGGTACACTACAAGCATGCCTTAGGAAAGGTCTGTGGGCGACTAAAGCAATAACTACTGAAAAGGTAGTATAAATATTGAATATGAACCCACAAGTTTTCCTTGTTTAGCTTTGGCCTCATTCTAACCATTTTGCAACTTTCCTAACCTCTGACAAACATGAAACGTTTGTTATTCTGTCTGTTTTTATTTTCACGGACATCCATGTTAGTTTGGGATTATTTATTTTTATAAATCCTATAGCGTTGACGTATATTATGGCCAAATGCCTTGCGCTAACTGTTCTTTAATGTTTGTTGTCAGATGAACAGCTTGACTTGGCTATCAGGTAGATAGGTTAATCGGCACTACATGTTTCCCATTAATTACCAAAAGTTACAACATCACTTTGTGTATCTATGCAGGTCGTTTGCCGGTGCGACAAGGTCTAATGAAAGGCAGCATTCTTCCCTTTGACGTGTTAATATCGGCATCATCGGACGCAGGCCTCCCGCATGATGAAACTACAATTGCTGAAATACTGCAATCAAGCGGTTATGCCACTGCGATGTTTGGTAAATGGCATCTCGGCTTAGGGCGCAATCGGCGATTTCTGCCCATTGAACATGGATTTGAATACTTCATTGGAACACTGTTTTCTCACGGAAGACCCTGCACGGAGAAATACAGCGGCATTATAAATCCCCCTTTCTTTGCGAAATTTGTTCTAACCTTTAACAAAGTTTGGATGACAGTCCTGTTTGGAATCCTGTATTTATGCTTGGCGGGCATATCCAGCTTCAAAATGACGGCCATAATGCTGACACTGGAAGTACTTTTTTGCGTGATGTTGTACCTCTATTTTTACACATTAACGGCTTTAAATCCAAGAACTTGCATCCTGTTAAGAAACCAAGACATTGTAGAACAACCATACCATTACGAAAATCTGACCCTGACGTATACAGCAGAGGCCCTTAGTTTCATGAGTAAGAGCTATGAAGCTGGATATCCTTTTTTTGCGTACATTGCCTACAATAGAATGCATCCTCCAGTTTTCGTGTCAACCAGCTTCAAGAACATTTCTGGTCGTGGCGTTTATCAAGACGGTTTGATGGAGTTAGACTGGAGTATTGGAAAAATAACGAATTTCCTGATAGACAAAGAATTAAATAATAACACCCTGGTCATACTGTTGTCAGATAATGGCCCAGAAATTTACAGACCAGGCACAGGGAGCATTCTACCCACAGAAGTACGGGGATCAGCTGGGGCTGTTATAAATAACCACGGAGAAACTGTTTATCTACGAGGACAAAAGACAAATAATTGGGAAGGTGGTATACGCGTGCCAGGTATCATCAAGTGGACTGGAAGGATACAGAAGGGACGTACTATAAATGTTACCGCTTCGTTAATGGACATTTTGCCTACTGTGCTCGATTTGGTTGGGATTCCTTATTCAGGTAGTAAAGCATTGGACGGGAAAAGTCTTGTTCCTTCACTAACTAACCAGTTCCTCCCCTCTCCTCATAAGTTTCTATTTCACTATTGTGATATGCATCGCCCAGGGGCCGTGACGTACGGCAAGTTCAAAGCACACTTTACGCACAGTCCTAGTGCTGTGAGCTGTAACGGAAAAGAGCTTGATCCACCTCTACTGTTTGATATAGTTGAGGATCCTGGTGAACGTAGACCCTTAAAACTGGGGAATTATTCGGAAATACTTAGGGACATTAACCAAGCTGTGGAGCACCACCTTATCACTCGCACTTCAGACCCGTTTAACAGTGGTTCTCAATACGACTATATGATGTGGCCCTGGCTGTTCCCGTGTGCTAACTTTCCATTTTGCATGATACAGAAATCGTAAGCGATGAGAACAAATTTGGAAGGCAAGGGACATTATTTTTGTAAGTGACATAATGACATTTACATTGTGTAAAGGAGAATATTCCTCAGTGATGAAGTAGGCCTATAACTCGTCTGTGCTCAGTTCATTATCAAAGACTTCTGTAACAGTGAACGAGTAATAATATAAACTCGCCAGTATTCTAAATGTAGTTCAGTTTCTCAGCCTTCAATGAATGGGTGAATAAGACTCGTCCGCTCATGCTAGTTCACTTTCGTGCTTATCGCGTGAACGATAAGTCACAGGGTAGCTGTTCGCAGAGATTCTAATCGGAGTTTGTGGGCTCAGTACAAAAAGCTTCGAAGTAATGTCAAATATTTAAGCAGACAATCGTATTGCAGTCACGTTCATAACATGGTATGTAACTGATCATCCTACCCGAAACACTTTGTTAGCAGTCAACAACGTGCAAGCACAGTTACATGCTTAATTCAAAGTGACCTTGGCATCGTGAGTAATCCAGACCTGCTTGTATTGTCACTGGAATGTGTTGTTCTTTTTCAAGTGTTTTTGCTTTATCAACTTCAATATAGTTATAACATTAACTTTGATAAAACATGTTTAAATGCTAAGTCCTTTGTATGTTACTTTAATCTTTTATTACATATTAAGGTAATTGAGATGTGCTCACTAAAGTGTAAGCACCTTAAAGATTGATTGAGATGGATGGTGGCGCCATATAAAATGTGTACTATTATCATCATCATTATTAGTTTTAGTCCGTCGTATTGTTTTTAGTCTTGCTACGGAAGAATTACTTGAGAGTGATTTACTTCGACACTTAGCAAGCACTCCTACATGAGTATGCCTACGTAGTGATTTCATAGGAGTATAAATCTGCAAAATACCTTATCTATTGAATAATCTCTTGATTTTTGTGTATGTAAGGTTATCTTTCTTGTTTTGTTTTATCTTTTTATTTTAAATTCACACTTTTTACAACCTGAAGTATAATCAGTGAATCAATCAAACCAAATTAAGGAAATGTGTAGTGTAATTAAGTGAGCAAGCTAGTGCATGCATTCAACGGCGGAACACAAACGTCATTTGAGGTCTTAGAAACTTGAAAATTCTAATTCATTTTTTTCTAAACACTAAATGTACCCGTTTTGTTAAAACTGATTGTGAAGTTTGTTGACCTCCTCTTAGGCCTCCTTGAACGATGTCTTTTGGTCATGCCCGAGAACCGACACAATTCTGAGAAGGCTGTGGCGTATCCTATCGAACACGACGATGAAGCTTGGTGTCTACCCCTTCGACAATTCCAGCAGTTGGCAATATAAATGTCAATGGAAGCCAATTGACATGGATGCAGGAGAGCAGAGCGAAAGTGATGCATAGTCTAGCACCACGGTCTTCTACGAGCAGGCGTTAATTCTGAAGACCTAAAGGTAACCATCGGGACGTCCTTCCAGCGGAGTCTTTGGCGGCTTCAGGGACAAGGAAACGAACCAGCTCCCAATAGAGAATGGAAGGCAACCCTTGCCCATCCGGCAGAAGAGCTGACAACATCGTGAACATGTTGCTGGCTCCAGTGAGCTCGATGATGGCATTCTTTAAGAATCAGTCTTGCCAACAAATTCCAACGCTAATTAGGATGGATAACAAAGGTGTTCAATCGATTCTCCTCACGGTGGTAGGTCGGCTGTGACTCACTGTAGTATTAGCAGCACACTAAACAAACAGGACACACAGATGCGTATCTTACCATGGTTGAAAAGGCCCGGTTGTTTCATTTGCCCGGTGTCACAATGTCAACAAATGTTCAGAGTAATCTTAGATTGACACAGTTAAAGAAGACACCAGAAGTGCACAATATTGTCAAAAGTAAAGCAAGACAAGACCAGTAATAATGAAGTCAAAGATATTAATGCAAATAAAACAACTTTATAAAAATTAAAATTACAATTACATTAAGAAAGAAATTAATGCAAGTTATAAATACCAATCGCCAACTTTAACGGTATCGGGACACAGGAGAAATGGAGACATCGTGCACAGGCGTGAGGTCAGCAGCCTCCAGTGAGGAACGTCAGGTTCACGGGTACTTGAACGTAAGCGCAGCATTACTTCACTGCTTCAAGTGGAAAGGCCTGTACCGTTCCCAACACAAAAAAGTGAGATTTAATGTGATTTATTATAATTAATGTGTACCATCCGTCAGGTTTTAATCTGGCCTGAAAATGGCCTGAGGTGGTAGCAAGTCAATTTTTGAAAGTCAAAGCAAAGTCACTGGTCACATGATCATAGGTCAAGTCAAGTCACGAATTAATTTGGTCCAAAGACAAGCAAGTCAGAAGTCTTTTTGTCCAAGTATAAGTCAAGTCGTAAGATGTGTGATACAGCCAAGTGATTTGTGGCCTTGGGCAGCCAAGACCCAAGTCGCGAGCTGAACGAAGTCTTATGCTGATGATTATATTAGGAACGCAAGGCCTAAGTTGATAAGCCTAATTAAAACTTTAATACATTGAAGACTGCCTGGAGTTCCACAATGTTGGTGTGACTTCCCAAGAGCTGGGGCTCCCATGTCCCTTAGACCTGGGGGGGGGAGGGAAGCACCCGATTCGAGTTGGGACGCATCGGTAGTTATCTATCTTTGGGGAGGAGAGGCCGCATCGAGATGGTTCTGAATCAGCCAGCAGCGAAGTAGGTGGATGAAGTCTGTTATGGGAACTGGAAGGTCAATCGGGCCCCATTTGGGTTTTAAGTTCGCTAGCAGGTGGAGCTGGAAGGGGGCTCATATGAAGACAGCAAAAAGGTACCAGGTCCATCAGGCTTGCCATAAGGCCGAAGAGACGTCGCCATGCCTTGCCGACGCATTCCAAGAAACTGCTGATGCGCTCGGCGGAGGTGTAGAACCGCACAAGTATTAGTCGGATTCTGGTTGGGGACGGGTCTCGATTTGTCGTGGTTGATGACGAACCCCAGACGGTTGGTAAGCTTCGTAAGTAAGACAAGTGGAAGCTGCAATCTTCTGGAGACCTGTCTACGACGAGCAAGTCGTTGAGGTATTGGAATATCGGACTTCTAGGCGTAGGTAGGCGGCTACGGTTCTCGCTACTCGGGTGAAGACTCTTTGGGACGTCGTGAGACAGAATGGAAGGGACGAAAACTCGAAGGTTATAGTTCTTCCGTTGTAGATAAATCGAAGGAACTTGCAGTCCCGTGGGTGGTTTGGGTTGTGAAGCTTTCAGATCCACCGACAATTCCCAGGCGGGAATCGGCAAGGACTAAGTTAATGTTCGGAGGGTCTCCCGTCCATGCGGAACTTTCTAGGTCGAATAGCGAACCTGTTTAGTGGCCTTAGGTTGATAATGGGTCGCCACTTGCTGGGTTCCTTCTCTGATGTTAGGAAGAACATCCAAATGAAACCTGCGTTGCTACGTTTCGGGGGATAGGAAGAATGGCCCTCTTCCGACGAAGAGAGTTTATTTTGGTCTCCAATGCTTACAATTTGTTCTTGTGGGAAGGATTGGAGTAGGACCGAAAAATTGGGTCTGACGTAGAGACACTCGTGAATTCGAGGGAGTAACCGAGACAGACAGTTGCGAGTACCCATCTGTCCGAAGTGATGTCTTGCCAGGGGCTTTCCAAGTTCAAAATAAGCTTGTGGGAGCCATTTTTCTTAATTACTAAGAAAATGCTAGACACAAAGTCACAGTCCTCTTTGACAGCTTTTTCCAGAATGCATTTCTCGAGCTCTGGATTTCCTCAACTACAATCAAACTTTACTGCTGATTAAATTTAAAACTTGGCACACAATACTGAGCAGGTGGCTCACCATCTATAAACTCAATTGTACAACCTGCAACGGTCTGAAAAATTGCAGTAATATTACTTCCGTTGTGAATAAATCGACTCAATTTACTTACACAGAATGGAGTGGATTTGTGCTCAGATTCAATACGGGCGATAAACAGTAGTGTGCCTCCAAGAGTTTGCAAACACTTTCCAAACGTACACAATCGACAGATTTCGCGCATCGTGATCGGCCAACGCGTTACAAACTCTTGGAGGCGCACTGTTGTGAATCACCCGTATTGATGCAACACGAATTACAACATCAGAACCTTCCTCAACCTTGGGCGGGCCATGAGAAGTAGAAGATGGATGTGAATTTTTAGCCTGCAAACGATAAGATAAGATAACTAGACAAAAGTGTTTGTAAACAAACAAAGAGCTGGTTCGGGACTGTTTTACCAACAAGATAAGTATTGTTGATCAAAGCTCTCAAACTAACCAAAATGCTGGGTTGAAAACGTGTACAAAGTCAAGGGGCTGAAATAAATATTGAAAAACAAGAGTAAATCACATGACGACGTCATCATGACGTCATTTATATACAATAATTTCTGTATCAAGATTTTTGTTGGCTGTCACTTTGAAAACGAGCACACATCCGAAAGGGTTAAAAATTGTGCCTTGGAAACGTGTACAAAGTTAAC